TATTCCCTGTGTCATTGCACTTTATTTAATATGATTCAACTTGTGTACTTAAATGTTCTGATTTGTTTGTATGACTTCAATATTTGGCTTGATGGCAACATCTGGTGGAAATGTTGTGTCAATAGTCCACTTAGAAATCCCCTTACTGATAAAAATGCTGATGTGTCAAATACTTATTTTCCCCGCTGTATCTTTAGTATGGCCACAGAAATTGATGAAAAAACTGTCTTACAAGATGCCTGAAGGAGTTTAAAATGGTTGTTTGAAATGGAAAATGAGTTGCCCAGGCCAAGTGTTTGAAAAAGAAAGGATTCTTTTGAACTCATGCAAAGAAGTAACAGTAAGAACGAATACAGAATACACATATACACGAATACACAAATACATGTCAAGTGGATTTATGTTGTATACTTGTATTACAAAGAAAAGACCAGACAACGCCGCCCAATTTTTTTTTTTTACAGGACAAGCTCTCTAGCAGAAGTTCTTGGACAAGCATTTGTGTGCCATAACTAGTTAAGGAGTAAGAGGAAGGGGAAGTGAAAAAATAGAAATACCACAAACAACAAAAAAAGCAAAAAGCAAAAAGTAACCTGGAGCACAGGGAAAACAAAAGTCTGTCTCATGAAAATATGCAGTTATGGCATTTCTTGCATGGAGGGGGGGTGAAAAGAAGGCAACAGAAGAGAAGTGCTCAGTGCATCATGGGAAGTCCCCCAGCAGTGAGAGGCTGCAGCAGCATAATGAGCACTAGGCTCAGAGTCATGTGATTAGCTGTATCAAAGTGAAAGTTTGAGGCCTGATGTTAAAAGCAGCGGCCAATCGATTCCTTTTTCAACATACACGAAAACGTAAAAATAACACGTTGGCCTTCTAATCTGCAGTCAGTTATCTTCAACACGTGAGCCACCGAATGGCCCGATGCAGCTATATATTTCCCGCGCTTTTATCTACAAGCTGCAATTATAAATGCATGAATAACTCTCACTCTCACCCTCTGAATAACCTTAGATCTAAATTCAGGCTACATTCAAGCTGATTAGTTGTGATTAAAATAGACTCTGTAGAGTGACACAACGTGGCCGCAACTCATCAACAAGGAACCTGTATAGCGTGCTTTATTGCACACGCACTGTATTTCCTCATCACACATCAGGTCAGTTAAGAAGAAGAAAAAAAAGCCCCTGTCATTTGTTTGGGTGTTAGAAAAGGGTGACTTTGACCTATAAACGTGGGAAATCACAAACCACCCACAACACACATGAATGTGTCAGCGAGGGGCCGCACCACTGGAACGACGCTTATCTTTACATCTTTTACGGCATTTTGCACCTTTTTACTCGTCTGTTTTGTAAATATATGTTTCTCTTACTCTAAAGTCATTGTGCATTGGAAATGCATGAAACTGCATGTAATTTTGGTTTTTAGGTTTTATTCAGTTTCACACCAGGCTGTATGAGCTGGTTTGTAGCTCTGTGCTGTTCACCGCCCCACCACCTACACCACAGCCTCCTTCCTCCCATCTCTCAAACTACTCTATAAAAAGAAAAAAAAACTCCATCTAATCTTCACTACAAGCTCATGTAACAGGGAAAACCCTGACAACCTGACATGTCTTTGAGAGACAAGCACCACATGAATTTGGACAGTGAGAGTGCAACACACACTAGGTGAGTCAAGATTGATTTAGATCCTATTGTATATATTGTCTTAAATTCCTGTGATTTCTTTGTGAATGTTTTCATTCAGAGGTCTGTGGTTGAGCTCAGTGCTGCCGCTGTGATGCTTACATGACAGAATATAGAAAGTTTTTACAGAAAAGGGAAGGCGTGTTCGGGGATACGATTTTTCAGCTTTCACACAGAACTGTGTAGAGCGTAGTAATGTAAAGAGCCCAATAATATGTCCCTTTGTTTATTTTTCGGATTTTGTAGTGATTTAATGACACTCATATTGGCTTTTTGACTAATTCCCCCCCAGAAAATGAATTGCTATCCATATCGATTTTAGAATTCAGATTAAAGAGACAAAATCGTGAGCGAATTGCAGACTGAGTGGTTGAACCAGTGTTTTCACTGTCTAACCCAGGCACAAGTGCAACTATGTGAAGCCTGCTGTGCATCCTCACTGGAATGTAAATTAAACCATAGCAATGTGCATTCCGGGTCAGTGGCATTTTTTGCAATCACTGAGTGGTTTCTGTCTATGTCATTACAAATAAACAAGCAGACCACAAAATGTTGAACCATAGAAACCCTGTGTACCGGACAAAAAAACTCCCACTGAGGTAAAATCCCAGACAAGCAGCAGCATGGTTAGGTTAACCATAACACGGCAAGTGCAAAGCAGCCATTCTAGGAGCCATGTAAATGATTTCTGTGGGGTCTGGTTTAAATGTGTGTGCTTGTGGTCACAGGATTATTGAGACCAGTTCTTCTTTGAGTCATGTTGACATGTCACATTGACTTCATCAGGGCAAGAATTCAGTGACTTCTCTTAGAAAGTTGTCATTTCATAAGACAGCGAAAGTGAGAACTTACTTGCAACTCATCTCACTGTCTGGCTTTGCACTCTGACCTAATGGAAGAGGTGGAGGTGTACAAGTCCCAAAAGCACAATAGGTGAAGCACGCTGAAGAAAAAATGCGCTCTTTCTGCAGAAATATACTGCGATAGTTGCTCAAGTGACCCTCCCAGACCCCACTCACCCCTAAAGGGGCGCAATTTAAAATGAAAGAGGTCATGACATCACAAATGAGAGGATATATTGTTGAATACTAGGTAATAAAACTTTCTTGGAGCTTTAACAATGGTAAATTTGTTCTCAGTGTCTACTAGAGTGGCTTTGCATGATTCGCTGTTCAAAATAATCCTTCTAATATATTAACATTTAAAAGATGCGGATATGACATCAAGAAAACTTTATAATAAAAGTAAAAAGGTTATTTTTGATCCTGATGTTTATTTAACTAAGAAATGGAAGTCTTGATTTTTTTTTATTTGAGGGTCCTGGGTCAAAGTGGAGCTCTGCATGCTCCGCCACCTTTGAGGCCTCAGTGACAGAGCCAAGAGATGAAGAAAGAAACCTGTGAAACAGAATATTTAGAGCAGTCAAAATCTTGATTAACTGGTGTTAACTTATGCCAGAAGATATACTAATTAAAGTCATTCTCTCAAATGAAAGGCCGATTTGTTAAATGGTTTTGTGCGTACTTGTCTGACAGAATGGAGGATCAGCCAAGGTCGTCTTATAGGCATCTGCTGCTGCAGGCTTGGTGCTGTCTCCTCACCGTGGCCATGGTGATTATGGCTGTACATCTCGCTACAATGAATCAGAAGCCAGCAGAGGTCAGTATGCCTGCCACAAACACAGATTTCACTGAGATTCATGTTGACTGCTAGCGGGGTCATATCTTAGTTTGCATATCTTAGTTTGCATCAAGAACGCGCTTGTAAAAGCACATGCTTTGCTGCTTGTAATTTGTGTAAATACCATATTTATTACGGTAAAGTAAATAAAATGAGCCCCACATCTACCCTTATCGGTTTATTCAAAGACATTAAGTCAGCTCTAGATACCCAGTTTGTGCCTCTAGGTGGCAGCAACACCATGAGTTCCTCTTGCTTGCTCAACAAAAGGAAGAATGCTTTAAGCTCTTGGGTTCTTTTAATTTCTTTTTTCTTCTTCTAAAAAACATCCCCAGAATTAGAAAATAAGGCCAGCAACATCTGCCTCACAATTACAGGGCCATTAGTCACTCTTTGTTTCTAGGTGGAAGTGAAAACCTTCATCTTTGATGATTTTGTCAGATAGCACTCTCATGGGAACACAGAAACTCATTGTGTTTGAAAAGTCTCTCCAGTGTCTGTTAAACATGGCAACTATAAAATAGAGCCTTTAGAGAAGTGGAGCTGTTGCAGACTGAAACTGAGAATTTCTCTATGTGCATCCATCCATCCATTCTCTTATGCTTATCCTTATCGGGGTTGGGGCAGAAATGTTTCGTCACTCATCCAAGCGACTTCAGTCTCAGCTGACTGCAGGTTTCCCCCGCCTTTAAACAGTATATTTTCATAATAACCACTACCATTAAAATGCAGGTTCTCATGGCCACCTATCCGTGGCCATGAGAACAACATACAAAGTGTTGGAGAATGACTGCGATCACAGTATTTGAAGACGGTGAAAGATGTATCCTTCCTCATGGGTACATCTTTCACCTTCTATAATACTTTGATTTTAGTCATTCCCCAATTCTGTGAACTCTGTAAAAACTTTTCTGGGATTTCCTTAAGTGGAGTATTGATCGTGCATAAACACAAACAATTCCTATGACTTCATGTTCAAAACATTTTCAGGATATTGACTGAAAACGAAGCAGGCTGTAATTTCCTTTAATTCCAGTTTGTACTGCAAGAGCACATCCTTATTTACAATAGTGGAAAAGCTAAAGGCTAAAGGGAAATGTGAGTACTTGAAAAACAATATAAGACAAACAGCCAGGGACAGTACAAAAGATGGATATAGCTTCACTGACATCATCTATTAGATTCAGAAGTCTTGAGTTTTGAAACCTCTGGATGATTTTTTTCACCATATTGGTTACAAATAAGTCCGATTTGACCAGGAAGGCTGGGTCTCACTGTGAAGCCGCTTGTTCAGTGCTTAACAGCGGATGACTGACACGTTGTTAGCCAACAAGCATACTGAAATGAGAGATTGAGCTCACAAACTGAGGAGTAACTTGTGTATAGAGGTCAACTCACAGATTTCTATAGAAATTGAAGTCTTTTTGCAACCACAAATATCTATGGTGACCTTCTTAAAGAAAGGAGGTTTACGGCACACTTGTTGAGCATGTTTTGATTCCTCAAGGTTGGAGTCCCTACACCAGAGACCATCAACTCAACTCATTCAGGTCGCATACAAAGGCAGACTCAGGAACCTTTTAAGTCAGGTAAATATCATTTGTCACATTTATCATGGACAATCACATAATCGTAAGACTGAAAATGTCATAATCCTTTAAATTATTTTGCATTTCAGGAAGCTCTCACCCATTCATCCAGATTTCCCACCATAACGGACGTCCGTCTGAAGGTGAGCTCACGTCTTTTCATGTGGGAAGTTGGCATGCTCTGACAATCATGAGTTTCATGAGAAAACCGTTTCCCTTGTTCTTACTATGTCTTTTTACACCAACTTTTAATGATCACACAGACAAATCTTAACTCTGCTACACATCCAAAGAGACAACTCTCACTTGTTACTGATCTCGTATCACGATGATGCCTGCCATGCATAAAAACTACTGTTAAACTGGACGCCTACAGATGCTGAGTGCAACGAGCTCAGACACATGTCAGTAGCAGCTGAAAGTCATTCTGAAAAACGTGGGCAGCCTTCAAATGAGGCGCACGAGGACACGGCGGGTTGAGGGGGAGGGGTGTGAACAAACAAGTAAATAACAAAATAACACCTAATTTGAATTTTTCAACCAACCTGGGGTTAACTAACTGAGTCTGTTTAGACTCTGTGAAAGAAAAGAAAAAAAGGTACAACTTTCTACAAATTCTATATGAAGGCACATGTTCTCAAATACTTAGAACTTAGACAGGAAACTGATATACTGCTGTGTTTCTGTGTTTTATCTCTAATCTAAAGTGGATGGGTGATAAAAGCTGACGTCATGTTTCAGTTAACCAGTCTGACAGTGGATGGATTTATTAGTATTTCCTTTTTTAATACACTGCAGGTACAAGTTTATTTCCCCTCCAAAGTGTTTTCATGTGTTACTACATTAACAGTCTGATAGGAATCCCTTTACGACAAGAGCAGGCCACATCTGTTATTAAAACCACTAAGTCAAGAATACACCAGCTCCGGTGTGGGTGAGGAGGAAAGAAGCCAAACGCAGGAACGGCATTGGGAATCTGGTCATGTTCGGATCCTGCTGTGATCTAAAGTTGTGCAAAGCTTGGAACAGAGATGCGACTTTAAAGACGCCTCGTTTTCTCAACGCCACGCTGTATATGAAAGATGGATGTGGCCCCTGTGAAGCTGGGTTGAGGTATTTTTGCATTGGCTTCACTTTTCAAACTCAGAGGCTACTTCCATCTTTTATATACAGATTATGGGTTAGGTAAAGACCGCTCTTGGGATTAACATGGTTATTTCTTCACACGTTACCCCTTTTTGTTGGGGTTTACCTTCCACATTGAAGAGATCGTTTTATTTAATCTCTTTGTCAGTTGCATCAACATTATTTTGTGAGCAGTTTTCTTCTTCTTTTTCAAGACAGCATTAATATGCAGTGTGACCATCTACAAAATGCTAGGTTGGACTGATTATTTCACATTATCTATTTGACATTTGAGATGTCATCAGTACAGGTATATTGTGACACGTTTAGTTGCGAGGTTAATGTGCTCTTTAGTTTATAGTTTTGACAACAGGCAGAAGTGAAGATGTTACTTTTTTTCAGATCCCATTGTGGTCTGGCAACGGCACAAAGAGACATATTATATTTCATTTTCTGTCCCACGGTTCCCTTTATAATTCACTTTGGTCTTATAGCTGTGGAGAAGTTACTGGCTACATTTGGAGAAGGTATTTTTTATGCCAGCGGTAGAACAGATTAAAACCATGAGGTTTATTGTGTTGAAGAGATAAAAGTTATCATACTTATCCTGCTGACGAATAACTATTACATCTACGTTTTAAAAGTTCACCACATCCACAAAGAAATCCTCTGCACGGGTTAAACCGTTGAGAAACACAGAGCCGTGCAGCCTCATTATGTTTCCAGTCTCATTTACTGTTTTCCTCCCACTATGCAGCAGTTTTCCTGTGTGAAGTGGGTTTCTAAAACCACAAGAAACCCGAAGCAGCTCTGTAATGTGGGCAGCACCGACTTAACGTATAATTACAGCCCACAGCAGCAGATTTCACAAGTTCGTCAGGTGGTATGTTGCAGGAAAATTAGACACTAATTGGAAGATCAGCTTTGTTTACCTGGTGTATTTATTCAGCTGTGATTATGGGGCCCACTGATCTGAAGCAGAGAGGAAAAAGCACTTCCTTTCAGGAAATTCAAGAAAAAAAGACACTTTTTGTTAGTCATTAAAAAAAACAAGTCGGTTGGAGAGTTTCCTCCATTTCCTCTTTCATGTGGTTTTCTTCACTTCAGTTGACAGATTAATAAGGCATGGGTGTCAATGTTGAGCGCTAAAATATTCATTTATTAATAGTTATTATTATCCCTGACTCGGGTATTCACCCGATTCTTTTCTGTACGCTCAAAGAAAACGTGTGTAAAGTGGAAAAACCAGCATTCAATTACCGTAATAACGCTTATACTGATTTACTGTCAGATATCATTCTATATTTCACATTTAAACGTGTTGAACTGATTTAGACAACAAAGGTTAACCCAGCTCGCCTCCGTCTTCTGTTTTGTTTCTCTCTGTGGAAAACCGGTCAAGCACAGAAGATTAGATATTAATCTGACATATTTCACTGCAGTCCACAAGCTATAATTAACCTTCAAAGCTTCAAAGAAAACTTTCCCACATACAGTGAGAAACTACTCCACTGTGAGGTCTGAGTCAACAGCTACCAGTCTCTGTGTTCTCATCACCGGATCCGAGAGACATTTGGAAGAAACTCCAGCAAAAGTTGACATTTTCCCGTCTGCCTAATCAAAGATGTAAATTAGAGAGTAATTAACAATGATGCAGTATTTATCGATGCTGCTGAACATCAGCTGCAGCGCTACCATCAAAAATATCAGATATGAAGCGCAATGGTGCATCCATTGAACTGGACATCACGTGCTAAAGTTTCTGAATTTTGCTTACTTTTCTGGAGCCCCTTACCCTCCCCCCCACATACTGAGAAGGATAATGGTGTATACGTTAACTCACTTGATCCACCCGTCCCCTGCGGCCTCAAATCACACCTGACGTGAACATTTGGGTTGATTACACAAAACAACAACAAGAAAAAAAAGGTTAAAAATCAATTATTAAAAATGAATTTAAAGTAACTGAGTGATTAAAGAAAAGTTCTTCATATTTCCTACAGATTCTGTTTCGAAACAAAATCGAAACAAAACCCTTACCCTGTTTGGAACGTCCATCATCGTCCAGGAAAACGGGATCTACTTCTTTTACGCCCAGGCGACCTTCAGGGAAGATTCACGGGAGAGACGTGTGCTTGTGGAAAGAACTGGCTTTCATGATAAGAAAACTAAGACACTGGCTAAGGGCATCTACCCGGCCTCATCAGAGAACTCAGTGTGGTTGGCCAAGATTGTCAAACTTAGACCGTTGGACAGTGTCAGCATAAACATAACAGGTGAAATTCTAAATGACGATACCTACTGGGGTGTCATCAAGCTTCAATAGAACTGGAGGTCTGGTTGGACTGGTATGTTACTTGTGGCCCTAAATAAACAAGTTAGAATAAAAGCAAACTGGATTTTTGAGCTAGATATTTAAATTGGAAATATTCTGCTCATCTCCAGCTGCATATTTTTATTCTTGGACTCACGTTTTTAAACAATGTTTATTTTTTATTTTGTAAATTATTTGTTTTAGCCATTTAGCGCCATTCACTTCTGTCCAATAATAAGTAGTTTGTGAGCGCCCTCTGCTGCACCACCATCTGAACTGCAGACAGTTTTTGTACAGCGATAGGAAGATTCCCTCTGTCACCCCTGATATGCTCATATTAGGAATGACTGCCTTATATCACGTCACACTGACCCCCAATAGAATGTAATATACGGAATAATTATACATATTCTGACCTCTTTTTTTTTTAAAAACACTGGTAATGTTTAACATGTTTAAACTATATATAAATATATATAAAAGGAAAAGGAATGGGTCCCCTTTAACTCTCACAATATAAAAAAATACTGCAAGGATTTGATCATGGTCTACAATTATTAAAGACTCTGTGGCTAACATGGAACACTACAATAAAGAAAAAAACTCCATTATGCAGGTTTTAATATAGACTTTACTAACTGGCACCTCGTACTCTTGATAGGCCACATCTTCATAGTAAATAAAGGTCAAACAATCGTATACTGCATCAGTCCAACCTGAACAGAGTTTTAAAAATGCCAGCTGGTTCTGAGTTGTTTTTGAATTTTTAGGCCGACATGAATGTAAACTGTGAAAGTCATTGGAATAATTATGTTCCTTTTCACTGTTATGTGCTTCTGTAATTTATGTAATTGAGTATTCTATTTTGGTTGTTGAATTCTGCATATAGACGTTTAATAAAGATTATTGTAAACCAACCTGATGCACTTTTTATTTGCACGTTGCACTGCTGACTGGCCACACGGTGGTGCCACTTCCCACCTAATCAAAGGCAGCATGAAGCCTTCGCACACCACAGCATCGTCTGTTCGGATGATTGTACACATCCTGCTATGACATTTCATTCAATGAAAAATGCTTAACACAGACCACAAATGCATTCTGAGAAACCTCAGAAGTGACATTAAAAAACGTAAAACACGGCGCTGTTCATCTTTCGGGCCTGACATTAGTTCTACTCACAGGTATTCAACCGCTGTGATATTTACTTGAGTGTGTGCTGAGCAACAGCACAGGAAGCCACATATTTGGTGCAACCGTTACACTGCTTCCCCTTTACAACACCCTCAGACACCTTTGAGTTCACAGCACCCTCTGACCAGCTTCCCCTGAGGCAGTTTAGCTCATCTTAATATCATTTTTAGAATTAGAATGTAAAAATCATGAAGCTAGTCATACGTGAATGTGTAAGTTTCACCCTTAATGTACTGGGACTGAAACTTAATAGAGCTCAGAGGCCGGAGTACATTACCCTCCGGGTCATCCACACACAATAATCGTGACTTCTGAGGGCCAAAGAAGTATATTGGTAGATACTTGTTATATTCCTCCTAGATCCTAAAGGTGCAATATCATGAAATAAAAAGTAATTAGATAACATGTTCATTTAATTCTGAGATTTCAAGGTTTTACTGTTTATTTCAGTTCAATTTTAAATGAAAATCATCAAATACATATCATTAAACACACAGCAGTTAGCGCTGTTGCCTCAAAGCAAAAAGGCCCAGAGTTCCTCTGTTTGTTATTTTTAAGAAAGTCTGTTCTTGTACATTGTGGAATAATAGCCCGACCGAGCTATTATACATCATTTTGTGAGAGTGCATATACATTTAAGCTCATTAAATAATGGAAGCTCTGTTGACATACACTACTTTCCTGTCATGGTTTCTACTAAGCATTTCTCGCTCCTGTTTTGTTTGTCTCTGTGGAAAACTGGTCAGGCATAAATATAGGATGTAATGCTGACACTTCTCTGCAGTCCACAAGCTACACACTAATAAACTCCTAAACAATGAGGCTTGAAAGAAACTTTAAACACATAGTAGTCGGTAACTTCTCTGAAACTGCGAGGCCAAAGTCGGCAAGCTTGAGCTCCACGGATGAGACACGCTGGAGAATTTTGAAATACAATGAGTCTCTGTGTTCCCATCACCGGATCAAAGTGACATTTGGGAAAAAACTCCAGCAAAAGTTGACATTTTAACTTCCGCCCAATCAGAGCTGTAAATTAGAGAGTGAATAGCAGCCTCATAAAAAGCAGGGTGTAAATATTGATGTTATTGAACTGGCTCTAAAAAAGTCTCTCCTGCAGTTCTACCAGGCCTGATGCAACACAAATAAAGTACAATGAATGTCACATCTATTTTAATCGAAGCAGCACCGGACAGACTCGGCTGTGGGAAAACTAGAAAAAAATGACATCAGTTTGCTTTTTTAATAACAGTTACCAATCAGGTGGCAACCTCTGGGTATGAAAAACAAAGCCATCACACAAGTGCCGAGAGCTACATTTGCTCTAATGGTCATTGGAGGCGGACTCCAACCCCCACAGACTACACATAAAAGAAGAATGTAGGCACTGTCATGTCACCAGCTGGTTTTGTGATAAATTCCGACCCTCACATGTGAATATTGCAGTGGAAATTGAGAGTAATTCAACCAGGAAGCATTTTTTTCTTTAACTTCATTGGACAACGTTTGTTGTAGAATTCACCAATTATGGTCATTTGTAGCCTTAATCTTCTGTCGATGGCTGACACCCAGTGTGGTCTTCTGCTGCTGTAGCCCGCCTGCTTCACAGTCTCATGTGTTATGTGTTCAGAGATGCTCGTGTCCGTACTTTGGTTTAAGAAGAGGTTATTTTAGTTACTGTTCCCTCCCTCTCAGCTCGAAGCAATTTGGCCATTCTCATCTAACCCAGGCATCAACAAAGCATTTTCACTCTGAGACCTGCGGCTCACTGGATATTTTCTGTCTTTCAGACCATTCTGTAAACCCTGGAGATGGTTGGTGTGGGAAAATCCCAGTGGATCAGCAGTTTCTGAAACACTCTGATCAGCCTGTCTGACACTAACAAAAGTGCCACGGTCAAAACCACTTAAATGTGCTCAGTTTGAACTTCACCAGGTTCACATGACTACATGGTTAAATGCAAAGTTCAACCGTTCAACAGCAGGGTGGACGGGTGTACCAAATAAAGTGGCATATGCCTGTTGACTAAGACTAATAAAATACCAGAGTTTGGGCGCTGCTATAGCAGATGATCAAAGGTCACTGCAGGCACCTGGGTTTGAGTCCACTCTGGACCATTTCCTGTGTGTTACCCCAAACTCTCTCTCTCTGCTTTCCTGTCTTTTCTAAATAATAATCCTCTAAATAATGAATGAATGTACAGCATTTCACTGCAGTGTTATGGCGTCATCATCCACATATAACACAGACGTTCCCCAGGCTCTGACTCTACTGTTCAGGAACACACTCACTATGGGAGTGTAGCAATGACACCTGCTCAACAAGTTAATATTCACTTGAAAATGAGAGCATCCAGCTTGTTACATCTTTAACACTGACTTCAGTCAACAAAGAAAAAAAATCCCTTCACCTTATCAGTGTTAACACCGCCCGCCTCTGGGTTTGGACAGAGGCTGTAACATGACATCATGTCTAACAGGTATCTCAGCTGTAATGTTGTCACGCTTTCTTACGACACTGGCTCCTTTGTTCTCTTCAGCCTTTGTTTATGGGGCTTGTCATTTGTATTAGCTGATTAGTCAGGCCTCTAATGGCATTTCGTGGCCCACAAAGAAACAGGAGCACTCCTGCCTGAGTGTGGAAAAGGGGAGCACGTAAAGTGTCTAGTTTCAACACAAGAGTGAGATTAGATCTAAGAAAACAAGTGGAGCTTCTAAGAACTCTCATTAAGAATTCAGGAAGCTGCTGATGGGGCACATTTTTTCTTGTTGTCCTGAGAATTTGCAGCACTTTATGGTAAAGGGTCAAGTTAGATTTTTTTCTGAGCTTATAAACAATGCTTCTTAATATAAAGGGCGTCTAAAAATCACCGTGAGAGTTTTTTCTGTTTGACATTTTAGATTTATAGATTTGACACCCACTACGAGTTCAGGTCTCGTCACCTAGTGGCAAAAGCATGTGACGATGCTCAACCACAGAACTGAGATAAAACGATGCTGTGTGTATACGATCCCGCGTGCATGTGTGTGTTTCTATATTACCTTCCCTTTTGTGTTTGTGTTGTTCTGAGCAGCCAAAGTCCACCTACACAGACCACCTGAAGACTTATTGTCTACTCAGCCCACAATGACACATTAAAAGTATCCAGACTGATGTGTATGACATCTACACAAGCTTATCTCCACTCATTCTTCCTGTCTGATATTGGCATGCACCATCAGATTGGATGAGAAGCGTCTTCAGGTTTTCTCTCAGATGTTCTGTGAGGTGCTCAGATCACTAATGGAAAACCAGAAACTTTTGCATTTACTGTTCAGTTCAGATCAGCGTAGTGCCGAAAGGCGAACCATCTGGAGAAAGATTTCTTTAAGAACCTCTCTGCATGTGGCCACGGCTATCACTAAATTTACCCCTCACAGCATGAAGATACCACCACCGCTCTCCTCTGGAGGGACTGCATCAGCAGGGTACAGGTTGCTGGGATTTAACAGATACAGAGTTTGAAATTCTGCCCAGAGAGGGCAGTTTTTGCAACATGACATCAGAGAAAACCATTAAACACAGAGAGTCCTTTAGATGTTGCTTGGCAAACCAGATAAATACTCCTTTTACTCAGAGCTGCTACTCTTTAGCTGCTCCAAGATGAAAGCATGATTTATAGAGTGCTGCTCAGGTACTCTCACCTCTGTAGGAGAGTTCTTAAAGCCTTAAGATGAATATCGGGCTCTTGGTCGCATCCCCGAACAAGGCCTTCCTGCTCAGTTACTCAGTTTCACTGCGAAATCCAAATCTAGGAAAAGTCGGGTGGCACCAAATTTCTTCCAGTTCACATTTATTGAGGTCACTGCCCTCCTGCGAGCACTCGGTGCCGTACAAACTACAAAGAGTTCCTTGAACGTCATAGCTCAATATTTGCCCCAACATGCAGTATGAAATACATGGTCATGCCCAGTTAATTTAATTCGCCACAGATCGACTTTAATCAAGTTCTCGAGACACATCTGACAAATTAAAAGGAAAAGGAACAGGATGCACCTGCCCATCGTCTGGAGACTCAGCAAAAGCCTGAAATAGGAGATAGTTTTAGTGCCAATATGAACATTTGTGGCAGTGCTTCACACATCTGCAGTCAGCTCACAAACAGTACGTCCATGTCTGTTCTAACAGTGCATGTCAATACACAAACTCACTCTAACAATACAACTACAGTCCGTACATCAGGAGTGGGTGTTCTTTTTTCCTA